AGGCCTTAGTTGTATTAGTTTGTTAATCATGTGGCACACTGGTGGGGACTTGAGCAGAGGGATGCTGTTGTCTAATGTGTACTTTAAAGGATCAGAATCCTGATTGCTGTGTGTTGAAAGTAAAAAGCAGAAAGACGAGGCCCAGAGGGGGTTGATCTATTAGGAAGCAACTTCAGGAGTCACCATGATGGTGCTGGGAATGAGGATGTTCACATGGCCACCCAGAATTCCAAAATGTCCCCACTCCAAATCTGTAGAGCTGATATCATGATCTAACGCCACAGCCAGCCACAAGTGCCAAACTCAAGAGTACAGCTGAAAAGAGACTGTTAAAAGAACTACGCATGTAGACGGAGTTAAAGGGAACACGGGAGAGTAGTAAAGTACGTTAGGACTTGGAGCCTAGAAGCTGCTGTTATCCGCAGACCTAATGACACAAGAGGAGAAGAAATCACTAGAGCGGGGTGCGACAAGAGAGCCACTCAAAGGTGTGTCATGCTGTGGACTTCCGGGAGCAGCCCCCACAATACAGCTGTGGTCTAGTAAGAAGAATCCTGCTGCAAGGCGAGCCCTGGTCTCTCTACTCCACTCTGTGCTGGGGCTGCCACTGTGGAATGCACCCGTGGCCAGAAAGCCTGACTGATATATCTGGAACCCAGGGCAGAGAGAAAGAGAATTGATGGCTGAGGCTGCTTAGCACTTACCATACTGTTTCCACAGGCAACTTCTATTCTCATTTGGCATGTCAGGAAAGGGATGTGTTTACCACTCTACAGACATTTACCTTACAGCGGACATTAATATTCTTTCTTGTTTAACAGGACTTTGGATATTTGGGCATATATCCATGCTTTGATATATTACCATGCATTTATATTCCACTCTCGCAGAGTTTATCCAAAAATCATTTTTCTGTTAGCCTGTGTACAACCCATAAATGGCCTAAAAGACAGATGTATTACCATGTCACTTTGAGCATGTTTATTTCCCTTAGAAACAGTGAAAAATCGGTCATTTTGAAGGAAGTTATAACATGTTTGCTTTTATCAGTATTAGCATTTCTATAACCTGAAAGAAAATAAAAACATTAAGTGAAGACTATGAGAGAGCATAAACATAAACAGAGACACAATATAGGTATCAACAACATAAACATAGAATTACTGCAGACACACAGTACGATGCAGGCCAGCCAATCAACCAGTCACAGATAGTTGATGTTAACTCCAAAGGGGGGGGAAAAAAAAACTAGTAAAACTCAAAGCAATCATAGCAAACCAGCTGAGCCAGGAATAAACATGCATGGAAACTTGGGCAACTTCTTATTGAAAACCTCAGAGGGCTGATGTGTATCTTTTGTGTGGATACACACATGTGCAGCGTTTCGTTATAAGTGCTGTATGCCTTGATACCGTGAGTCCTCTGGCACGCATTTGAACAGTATTTTGTGTGGACACACACACGTGCAGTGTTTCGCTATAAGTGCTGTGTGCCTTGACACCGTGAGTCCTCTGGCAGGCATTTGAACAGTATTTTGTGTGGACACACACATGTGCAGCGTTTCGTTATAAGTGCTGTGTGCCTTGACACCGTGAGTCCTCTGGCACGCATTTGAACAGTATTTTGTGTGGACACACACACGTGCAGCGTTTCGCTATAAGTGCTGTGTGCCTTGACACCGTGAGTCCTCTGGCACGCATTTGAACAGTATTTTGTCAGCGTTTGTAATGCTAACAAAAGGGGAAAGAAACGGGTGTTTACAACTATGGTGAGCTCCTGCAAGCAGAAACGGAAACAGAATTTTGCTTAAATTGCCAAAATAATAGCAAAAAATCAATAATTGGAACCTGGACCACTCTAATTAGACATCCGCACAGCTTCAGCTCCCCAAATATTTGCCAACTCTCTCATTTGAGATATGGACCTTGCCATGTGGCAGGGGTAGTACCTATACAGCAAAATGTGAAGCTTTGCATATTTTTGAGCTATCCCTTTAAAATATGAGCTAGTGAGTGATACGTACTCTGCTGAAACCTGTACCTTAAAATGCCTATTATCTTTTGAGTTGCTATTAAAAGACAGACTTTTAAAAATAATAATTAAACTATATGTGCTATTCACAGGCCTGAAGATGATTTTATATCATTAAACTTCTGCATAAATATGCTTCAATAAGCAATTAAACCGAAGGATCTGGTTTGCATTTTAATCCCCCCCCCCTTTTCTCTGTGAAGTCATCACAGTCATGTACCTTTGATCTTACAGTCATTTCTGGCACCAGATTCAGATATCACAAATGAATAATTATTACTTCATAGAATGGAATTCAAAGACAATGGAGCCTAATGAAACGGGGCTTTGTTTCACACAGAAGTGAAACCTTTTCTAAGTGTTGCAAAGAAAGAGTTCTAAGCACAGTGAAGAAATCAATTTATGATTGCACATCTTGAGACCCTGTCTTGACGGTAATCTACACACTGCATGGTTTAGAATGTGGAGCTTTTCTTGGAGACGCTCGTGCTGTCTGTCCTTGGATGCCCCAATAGCATCCTTCTGTCTTACTTACATGGCTTTCCCCTCGTTTCTGCTCCACAGGCTGTTCCACCCCCCAACTTTGAGATGCCGGTTTCCATCCCCGTGTCCAGCCATAACAGTTTGGTATACAGCAACCCTGTCAGCTCACTGGGAAACCCCAACCTTCTGCCACTGGCTCACCCTTCTCTGCAGAGGAATAGTATGTCTCCTGGCGTAACACATAGACCTCCAAGTGCAGGTAACACAGGTATGTCCTTCAGAGGACGTAATGTTAACAAGCTGTTGGAAGGAGCCTTCTAGCGAAGGCTTTCTTACCTAGGAAGTGCACTCTGGTTTCCCATGTTTATCCTTTCATCTCTCACCATCCACACCTTACTAACCTACTCTCTGACAGAGTCTAAGTTCTTCAGAGAAGAACTTAGTATCTTTCAACATATTTCTTAACCCACCCTTTGTCTTTCCTGGCTGTCACATATCTCCTCCAGTGGCTATATTTTAACCACATACTTTATCAAACAGTGTGTCAAAAATCTAGTCTACACACTTTTGTGCCTTGTCTCGTCTGCATAAAATATCATTTTCTCTCTTCCTACGGAAGTGTCACCTCTTACATGGAACTATTCTCTGTGTTCTCCGATAACATCTGTCCCTCTACGTAATTGTTTGGATCAATTTTTTTGAGACAACTTATCCAAGAACGAATATAAGGTAGAAAGGAACTGTGTGATACACTAGTGTGGCTTGTAAGGAGTATGGAATAAGAACACAGCTGAATCAGAAACACAGTTAAGAGCATGTCACATACTCAGATACACTCACCACAGATTTGCCTCTGCATTATGAAAAATCCTTACTGCTGTTCAATTCACAATGACCTAGGGACATAAAATTATTGCTCAGAAAAAAAAAAACAGTCATTCTGAGTATGTGAATCCAGCTAAATATGTTATGATGTACTGTATTGAATATGTGTCTTTTTCTCCACTGGACTTGAAGAATCTTGAAAGGAAGAATGCCCATTTGATTTGCCAAGCTCACAGTGGGAGCTAAGTCAGTGTGTACTGAATATAACTAAGCCATTCCTTCATAGTTCCAGAAGCAGCATCAAAAATAATTGTATTTCTAATCTCATACAGCAGTCCATTGTGTATTTACATTCTGGTTTTAAAGAAGCACTCCACAGGGTACTTTCAATAGCTAAGGCACATTTAACTGTACTAAGAGCAGCTTATTTATGGAAGCACTTTTTCCTCTAGAAGATTTTATAAATCTTGAACCAGAGAAGTATGTACAAAAGACTTCACTGTGCCATTTTCTCTTTTAAAATATGATTGAAATTTTATATAAATTTTAATAGCCATATAAATTCTTTTTGGGTCATATTCAGATCAGATGTATTTGAATGTCCTATTTGGTAACTCATGTTCATTTATTGTTTTAAATTTGATTCTTTGTCTTCAAAACTGTGTTTGGTGGGAAATAGCAACAATTTTCTTAAAATATAATAAACATATTTTCTGATTCCAAAACCTGGAACCAAGTAATAACAATAAAGTATCACTTAGAAAGAACTAAGAACTCTCAATTAGATGATTATTGCCACTATTCTTCTAGATCTTGTTCTTTAAAATTTAAAAATACTAATTATATTCCGACTTACTGAAAGATCACAACCCTTACTAAGAAACATAGCTGTTATCACACTTATCTATTTACTTATTTGTTAATTTCCAAGGGGACATGCCAGTGCCATTGCCCAAGTGTGGTGACAGGAGGGTAATGTCCAGAAGTTAGTTCTCTTCCAGTGTGGGGGTCCAGGAGACGGAGCACAGGCCGTCATGCTTGGTGGTAACTGCCATAACCTGCTGAACCACCTTGTCAGCCCACGGTTTCAGCAATGAATTTTAGCATGTGTTTAAATCTGTGGCAATGAAAGCTTGTGTCTCACGTCATGAAGTAAAATTCCACTAGAAATATTAGTCAACTTACGAGAAAATAAAATTTATATTCAATTAATATTATTGCACAAAATTAATCCTGCAGAATATATTTAGAAAGAAACTAGACATCAGACATGTGGCTATCAAGGCATATGTTAGAAATGAAGTGGGGTTTTCTTTTTATTTACTGTGAAGTACCTCTTTAGGAGAAAACTAGACCTGAAAATAATAATGCATAGACTATTCACAGACTGTAGTTTTCTAATGTAATCGTTCCTAGAAAAAAAATTCCACAAAATGTCAGTGAGTGAATGTATTTTTAACATTTGAGCACAGCATGTCACCATAAAACAAATGTCAGCCCTCGCGGCTTAGGTAGAGCGTTTTAAGACCACCTCTCAGGAGAGGCACTGTGCTCTGTCCCATTGGCCCTTCGCCTTTCTCCTTTTGATCTTCCTCTTTACTCCATAGGTGGTCTGATGGGTGGAGACCTCACATCCGGTGCAGGCACCAGCGCAGGTAAGCACAGATCTCAGCGGCGCCGCAGCATGTGGCACTGGCCTCAGTCTGTGGGTGATTTCCAAGAAACTCGAAAGCTCCTTCTGAAGGAGGGGTGGTTGAACAGTGACTGACAAAGGAACTGTGTGTTAGATGGAGTCTTGCTTGGGACAGCTTTAGCCAAGGCGAACCGGTCACAAACCTCACCTGTCATGTCCAGTGTGTTAATGAAGACAGTGTCCTTGTGTCTCTTCTGCAGTAAGAGAAGTCTAAGAACAAAATAACATAGCTGGTCTGCAGAGAACTGTAGATTCTGATCAGATCACCTCAGTCCCTGATACCACTCTTAGACAAGAGTGTTTTAGGGAAGCCATACTTCTCATGTTCTCTGTTCATCAGTTCCTAATTGAATCAATCATGTTCACTCAAAGTACTGATATCCTGTCCATTCCTAAAGAGGACAGCAGGAGTAAGACTGCAACCATTCAACAGTATTTGTAGTAAAACCATATTCGGCATTAACATCAGTAGACCATGCTGCCGCAAAAACCTTTACATACATTTCATCTCTTTAGAATATCTTCAACAGTGACTAATTGTCTCATAGTCACATTTCTTCAGGTTCCCATATTAATTTATAATGTTGGAATTATTGAGATGTTGATGTCCATGTCAATGCAGATACGTAATATAGCACAGTACTTTTAAGTGCCAACTCTCGTTTACTATCAGCGTAAGAAGTAACCATGGTAATTTCTACAGCTGGAACATGCTATAAATTTAAAATAGGAGGCAGGCATGAGTGACACAAGGTTATGTTTGAAGTGTCAAAAAAATCAAGTTTATTGAAATATGCATGGACAGCCTAATTAAAACATTGTGCTAGGGTCAAATATAATAGCACGCTAATTATAAGAAAGAAGATAAGGAAAATTGGCATACAAAAACATTTTTATACATACACCTATTGGAGGTGGTGTTTCTTCTGGGTTTTGGTTTTTTATTACTTCAATGAGTGATGCAGAAATATCAGAACTTCCAGAGAGTAGATAGGAAGGAGGAATAACCGTAGTTCCCTATCATAGAAATTTTTAAAGATTAGATAGAGCCAAACTAGTAAGTAAATTCAACAGTACTTTCCCACACAATGAATTTGTCATATTTGATTTCTTTCTCTGCAGAAAATACTTTGCAATGAGTAATATCAAAATTCAAGAACCAGAAAAGGCCCAGACAAGTGTTTCCTAGGTAGAAGTCCCAGCCACACACTGGTTAGAGTCAGTGGTGGGCCGGCAGGGGAGTCACAGGGACCAAGAAAAGTAGTCTAGATGTCATGACTTTGTCTACTATTTCACTAAGCCAGCTTGGTTACTATTAAAGGAACAGCCAGTATTGGAAGTAAACATTAAGAAAAATGCTTTTTTGTTTTTGTTTTGTAAATGTGGGACAAACAAAACTTTGGGTTACTAAACTTTGATGCAAATGGTCTCTTGTTACTATTTAATAGCAATGATGCTTTATAATCTGATGTTAAAAATAAGAAGTGTTTGATTGTTCACTTCTGCTGTTATTGTTAATTGCCTGACAGCCTGTTAAATTTAATCATTCTCCAAGAATAAAGAAGATATTCTGTCTTTAAAATATAAAAGTTTGCAATATACAGAGTGTAAAACCATTAGAAAAAAATCTCAGGAGTTAAACCAACTCATCCCACCACCTCTGAACATATGCCTTAGGCACGTGACACCTTATATCTGGAAATAGAAGGAATCAGGCTGTCGATATGGCTCAGTGGGCAAGTGTTTGCCAGGCTGGGGATCCAGCTCAGAGGGTAAATGTTTGCCATTCGTGCCCGACAGTCTGAGCATCAAAGCGTCTGTAATCATGCCGTGTTCCTGTGGAGGATGGGAGGCAGACACAGGACAGTATCCTAAGGCTCCTGGACCAGCTTGTCCAACATGTACAGCAGAGAACAACAGGAAAGCCTCTGTCAAACATGTGGGAAGCAAGGACCAGTTCTCGAGGCTGCTCCCCCCACATTGATGGTGGCACTGACCTCATGCCCAAGCCTACACCAAAATGTGCATACACAGAGATAGAAATAGAAGGAACCGAGGGAAAACTGTGACTGCACCTTATTATTGAATATAATTTCCTATAATTTCCTAGTCACACATGCATCAATTTCGTAGTTTCTACGTGTAAAAGTTACTTAGCCATTTTTTTAAACAGAGGAAGCAGTCCTTTCTGACCCTGGTTCCGAGGAGCACCTGTTGCAGACACCATTTAGTCTTCAGCACAGCCATGGCCCGCTTGTGAGCTCACTCATCTTCGCCTTCGTTTTCATGCCAGCCAGGATCGCATGTCAAGGCTGAATATATCTGCACTGATGTCAGAGAATCACATAGCACCGAGGGGAAGCAAGGCCAGCCAGGAAGTCTTTGCATTCTCACTGAAGAAAACTAAAGCAAAATGACCAAAAGATATCCTCCAAAGTTTTAACATTGTTATTTAAACTCAAGACCTCAGAGTTAGAACCTTTAAGGCCAAATAATATTTGAAACCTTTGTTGTTTACTTTTCAAAATCCAATCATCTCAACTAGTTACACACACACAAACAAAACAGCAAAGGTATAGTTTCACTAGGGGAGGCAGTAACATTGACTGTGACTTACTGTGTGACTTAAAAATACAGTCAAATAGACAAGCATTCTCTTTCTCGGCTGGGCTTGGGTACATGTAGTAACTTTCCCACCTAGTCTGGGAGCTATTATGTAGTCATTCTGTGAGCCACCTAGTCCCGTTAACTCTATTTCCAAGGTACTTCCTAGGTTAACCCCTCTCCCTCCATAACTATCCTAATGTCCTGATTCAGACTCACAGCACTTCCCCCAGACTGATTCCAAAGCTTCCTTACCCACCTTTCCGTTCCATGTCACATTCCCCATAGTCTCTCTGTGGCTGATCAGTCTTTCTCAAAGCCTCACACTAATTACATGTTATCATTTGCATGCATAAAACTCAATGAGTTCCAAGCTCTTACACAATTACCCAAGAGCCTTCTATCTGTGGCCCAGGGTTGCGCTCTTTTCTGTCATGGCCCTCAAAAGCGTCTTGTACTCCACCTTCACTAATAACAAACATTTGAATAGTTCATAATATGCATTCTTTTACATGACAAAAAAATGTGACTCAACCAACCTTGTAGCTGTCTTTTAAAGCAGATGCTGCCATTGTGCCAACTCTACATATGGGTAAACCGAGGCATGGAGAAGCTAGTTAATGGCCTAACGTAGAAACCCAGAAGTCTGTCTCCAGAGTCCGTGCTTCTAACTGCCTCACTATACCGTCCCCCCCAGGGCAGTGTGAAGCCCTCCTCTCCTCCCACCTGCCCATTCCTAACTCTTCTTCCTCCCCCTGCTCTGTGCTCCTGAGCACTGTCTGTCCTTGTTCAGAATCCAGTTCAACCTTCCAGAGTCCTGTACCTCCCCTCTGTACTTCCAGGGCATCCTACACTGACATTAAATGCTCCTTTGCACTGTGATTACAGTCTCTGTGCACATTTGTCCTGGACACTGCTGTTTGGGGCAGACCAGTCTTTGTTTGTGTCTCAGCTCAATACTTAAAAGCACACAGCAGATGTCCAGTAAATGTTTGCTCCCTGAATAAAACACCAATCTCTAAGATATAAAGCTTTAATAATAATAATAATAACTTTTATTATTAAATAAATAATAAAGCTTTAATAAACTAAAAAGTGAGAATACTTCCAAAAACTGTAATGTTAAATTTTAAAAAAAGCCCTTGCTCTGTATTTCTCAAAGATAATGCATTCATTTCAGACTGTATAAAGTGAATGTCTAATTGATAAAATGGCTGAGCACCGTTGACTGACAAAGCAAGGTTTTACTACATTCTTTAATACAGTTTTTAAAAAAAAACTAAATAGCTGATATATAGCAGAAAGTGAAAATGAAGATTGGTATCTCAAACCATCACAAATCACTTCTTAAAACAATGCGTCTCTTATCATCGCTTAGAAGGAAATAATTACCAAGAGAACAGCAAGATGTTCTGCAGAAGTAATGAAATGGTCGTGTGCTCTTGGTATAAGGGACATAGACAGCAAGTCATTATAAAACATTAGTAACAGTGACACTTCGAGCTTTCAGTCGACAGTTACTCATCCACGACTTATCCCTTTCCTCTCAACAACCAAAATGAGACGTCACTGCTTTTAAAATACATTTTGTCATGTCTCTGTACATTAAAGCTTTTAACATGTTAACTACATGGTTATTGATGATTGTAAGATCAAGTTCAATTGAATTTTTGTTGTAATCATTGCATTTAATAGAAATAACCATTAGCATAGCAATACCTTGTGCTGGATCAGGTGCCATCAAATGAATAACTTCTGGTTTTACTTTGTTAATATACTTACCTTGTACAGAGCAGAGGGCATACATATTTACTGATTCATGGTTAAGATTTAATCACAGAAGAAATAAATAAAAAATTAAAAAAGAAATTAAGATTTAATCATAGTTAGGGGGAGAACTTTATAAATCATTTTGAAAAATTAAGAAAATATGACAATCTACATAGCTGTTTGACAATAAGACAAAGAAGATTTATGCATATTGGTTAATAATTTTAATTGGCATTCATTGTAAATTACATATCATTTTATATAAAAAGAAACTAACAGCTGTTTCTTTATTTTGATTGTCAATTGTTTACTATTTTATGCATTTGGTTGTCAAGCATTGCCACTTCTGGAATGCTTAATTTCCATCAGCTAGCTAGGTGGAGACATGTGGTTTGCAATGTATTGTGGTGGATACACACTGGCAGGCCAATAACACAACCTGCTTTCTAGACTGTAGACAGACCAGGCTAGACCTTCCCTCACGACTCAGCACCTTGAAGCTAAGTACTCACACTGAAGCTAAGACACAATTATCATTATAATCCATTTGCAGGCAACATTTTTATGATCATCATGATCACATAATCACAAAACTTGACACTTTTTAAAATTGAGGTAGCAGTGAAAAGAAAAAAAAAAAAAGATCATACTACAGTATAGAACCAAGTGGGGAGAGGCAGTGAACATGCAGAGATTAAACACTTACACATTTCTTATTCAGTAATTTTATAAAATTGAGGAAGTGACTGAATTTGTTTATAAAGATGACTTAGTAAGTTCACGTTTTGCTTTTTAAAAAAATTTCAAATTGCAGCATTTAGAAAGAAAATATACCAATTGGTTGCTTTCAAATAAGAAAACTAATTTTAGTATAAAAATAAAATTTGCATGTCACTTTGTTTTGAGGGTTGAGGTGGATGTGCTACATTCCCAAGCCAGATTTTTATAACTTCAAAATAATTAAGATATGAAGAAAACTAGGCCAATTGTTGAGTTCTGCTATGAAAGTATAATTCTGTTAGTCTGTACTGTTCAGAAGAAAAAAGAGAGAGAGAGAGAAAGGAAGGGGGAGGGAGGGAGGAAGAGAAAGAAAGAAAAAGAAAGAGAGAAAGAAAGAAAGAAAGGAAGAAAGGAAAGAAAGAAAGAAAAAGAAAGAAAGGAAGAAAGGAAAGAAAGAAAGAAAGAAAGAAAGAAAGAAAGAAAGAAAGAAAGAAAGAAAGAAAGAAAGAAAGAAAGAAAGACTGAACTCATTTTCAGTTTTACCTTGGATGTTCCCAAAATATAAAGATCCTACAGCCTTGCTTTGTTATTATCTAAGAAACTAAATAACAATGATATTTTTAACTTAAACCAAGGTTAACAAGATTTATTAAAGGGGAAAAAATTAGTCTTTTAATTGGATCAGCTGGGGCACATGATACACAGTCACTGCCAGGAAAATCAGTATCCACTTTTGGTGTACAAGACCTGGCAGATTACAGATAAAGCAGAACCCTGCCACACTTCTCTAGGGACTGGCGCTAGTCTGGTGAAGGCAGGTCTAAACTAAGACTTAAGGAAACATGCCACAAACTAACTCAGCATGATAAGACCCACCTTTAGCCACTGGGCTCTGCCTTAGCTCCTAAGGAATTTGATTTCCAGAGAGGAAAAAAAGAAAATCTCAGGTCATAGCTTCCTAGGGCAGTGTTTCCCAACCTTCTTAATGCTGAGACCCTTTAATACAGTTCATCCTGTTGTGGTGACCCCAACCATAAAACTGTTTTCGTTGCTACTTCATAACTGTAATTTTGCTACATTATGAATCATAATATCTGACATGTAGACGGTCTTAGGTAACCCTTGTGAAGGAGCTGTTCAACCCCCAAAGGGGTCGCAATCTACAGGTTGAGAATTGCTACCCTAGAGAGTCTTCAAGCAGGTATTGGAGCCTTTCTTTAATTATTAGCTCTGATTTACCAAGCTATGTTTATTTATTTGTTTGTGACAGTGTTTTACTGTTACCCAGGCTAGAACTCATGCACTCAAGTGATTCCCACACATAGTCTTTCTGAATGTCTGGGACTACAGATGTGGATATACCACTGTGCTCAGCTTTCACACTGTTTTTAGTCACCTGTAAATTATGTATAGTAAAGTAATGTGAAAATTTGTTTCTTCGTTCATGTCCTATAAATTGGCTATATGAATGGGACTGCTAATAAAACTTTGGTATTTTTAATTTTAAGTTTAAACAATTAATATGCCCCACACACAATATTAATTTTACTCAAAATCTGAAATTCCTTTTCTCATGAGTGCCTTTTTATTTTCTTTTCCTGGTTCTCTCTGATGTCTGATTTTGACATCACCATAAATAAGATTTTTAAAAATCTTTTTCTCCATAGCTTATATTTAGTTTTTTGTAAATTTGTTACAATTATTTATTTACTGTGTGCATTGGGGGTATGTCATGGCACTTGTCCAGTTGTCAGAGGACAACTTGAAAGAGTTGAGTCTCTTCTTCCATAATGTGGGTCCCAGGGACTGAACTTAAGTTGGCAAGCTTAGAAGTGGGCACCTTTACCCACTGAATCATCTCCCCAACCCATCAACCTAAGATTTTATTTAGATAACACAGGGGGAAGAAGTGTGTCTATGAGGAACATGAAGTTACACATAAATAGACAGCAGCTGCTGAAGGGGGGATGATCAAAGGGCCTCTCTTAAATCAACTGCTTCCCTCTTATGGACTTTCTTATGTGAGGCTATGGGGCTGATAGCCAAGAGCTTTGAGATGATTTTTGCCAATAACTTAAATTTTGCTGATAGATTTATATAACATATTTTTGTTGAATTCCAATTCAATGAGTATGCGATCCTAGCATCTCCTATTTGGAAGACAGTAGTTGTTTTAAAGAATTAAAACTGGAGATCCTAAAATCTTGAGCAGCAGGTTCAGCTCCGTGGGTGCTAAGGGTGCTAAGGATTCACAAGGTTTATTTATTATGGCACTGTTTCAATTGTTTGAACTCAGTATGGAAGTGTTC